AGCCCTGCAGGGGGTGGGAGAGCGTCCCGTGGACTAGGACGGCAGGGGGACCCGGCAGCCCGCGCTCCGGGACACCAGCCCCAGCGTGGGCGTCGCTGGATCCCCAACCTTCTGGGTTGGGGAGCTCCCAGTGCAGGCCCCTGGGTTGCAGAGGGGGCCGCACGTGTGCATGCTTGGAGGCAGGGTGTGGGTCAGAGGTCCCACGATGCTCTACCAGTCACTCTGTAAGTGGCCTCTAGGAGAGACGCACGGAAGGGGAGGGAGGGCGAGAAAGGCTGCACAGAGGAGCCCGCCGGGTCTGGGAGGCCAAGGTGAGGGGGTTGCCTGAGCCCGCGGGTTCGAGAACAGCCTGGGCGACATGGTGAGACCTCATCTCTACAATAAATTTTAAAAATAGCCGGGCGAGATAGCGCATGTCTGTAGTTCCAGCTACTTGGAAGGCTGAGGGGGAAGGATCGCCTGAGGCCAACGGGTCGGGGCTGGGGTGGCCATGAGCATGCCACTGCACTCCAGCCTGGACCATGGAGTGAGACTCCAACTCAAAAAAAAAAAAAAAAAATTGAGCCGGCAGAAGAGGCAGGGAGCTCGAGGCGTGGTGACTCACGCCTGTAATTCCATCAATTTGGGAGGCAGAGGCAAAAGGATTGACTGAGCCCAGGGGTGTGTGCCTGTATTTCCAGTTACTGGGAAGGCTCAGGTGGTCCTGAGTCCAGCAGGTCAAGGCTGGGGTGGCCATGAGTGTGCACTGCACTACAGCCTAGGAGACAGAGTGAGACAACGACTAAAAAAAAAAGAGGCAGGGAGCGTGAGCTGCAGAGAGGAATCCTCCAGAGTGGCTGCAGCTCTGATGTAGGGTGTGGGGAGGGGTGAGGCCCTGGGAGGGAGGCAGTGAAGTTCGTGCAGCCGGGAATGTGGAGGCCGTCACTAATCAAGAGGCGTCGCACTTTTATTCGGTAGGTAGCAGAGTCACGGGGGGGATTCTTAAGCAGGGCTAGGGCACAATCTTCCTGCAACTCCGGCAGAAACACCTGGGTTGAACTGTGTTCCTCCACATTCATATGTTGAAGTCCACGCCCCTGACACTTCAGAATGTGATCGTTTTTTGGAAACTGGGTCCTTGCAGATGTAATTAGTTAAAATGAGGTCATACTAGAGTAGGGTGGAGCCAGGCACTTGGGAGGCCCAGGCAGAAAGATTGCTGGAACCCAGGAGTTCCAGGCTGCAGTGAGCTGTGATTGTGGCACTGCACTCCAGCCTGAATGACAGTGAGACCCCAACTCAAGAAAATTACATAAATAAATAAATAGTGCAGGATGGGCCCCTAATCCACTATGACCAATGCCCTTATAAAAGGGGGAATTTGGACACAGAAACACAGGAAGAACCCATGTGAACGTGAAAGCAGAGACTGGGGTGAAGCATCTACAATCCAAAGAACACCGAGGATTGCCAGCAGCCCACCAGGAGCTGGGATCACCCTCGCAGCCTTCAAAGGAACCAGCCCTGGCTTTACTTTAGTCCTTGTGTGTGTATGTGTGTGTGTGTGTGTGTGTGTGTGTGTGTGTGTGTGTGTGCGCGCGCGCGCGCATGTGTGTGTGTGTGTCAGGATATCAGGCTGTCACCCAGATTGAAATAAAGTTGCACAATCATGGCTTAAACACCTGGGCACAAGCAATCCTCCCACCACTGCCTCCCGGGTAGCTGGGACTATGGGATATATTGCCCAGACTGGGCACCTTGGTCTTGATTGGACTTCTAGCACCCAAAGCTGTGAGAAAATAGATTTTTGTTGTTTGAGCCTCCCACTTTGTGGTACTTTGTTATAGCAGCCTTAGGAAAGTAATACAATATCCAAAACTAGAGACACATGGCCAGGCACAGTGGCTCACGCTTGAAATCCCAACACTGGAGGCTGAGATGAGAGGATTGCTTGAGCCCAGGAGTTCAAGACCAGCCTGGGCAATATAGCAAGACCTCCTCTTTACAAAAAATCAGAAAGTTAGCCGGGTGTGGTGGTGTGTGCCTGCAGTCCCACATACTCAGGGAGGCTGAGGCAGAAGGATTGCCAGAGCCCAGGAGATCGAGACTGTGGTGACTCATGATTGTGCCTTGGCACTCCAGTTTGAGTGACCCTGACAAAAAAAAAAAAAAGTAGTGACACAGAAAGATAAAATCAGAATTCACCCTTGTGCCCTTGTCGATTTGCAAGCTGTGGCTCCGCCCACCTTGAAACTATCCTTCTCAGTCCCAAACTTGCCTCCAACCTCTTTTCCACTTGAAGTCCAGTTTAGAGAAGAAAGATTAAATCAAGACAGCAGGAAGAGGAATAATGGGAATCAGTTGTCCCCCAAGACACTTATTTTGTGCCACTGATATGCGTTATGCTATTAAATTACCACAATAACTGCATTCAGCAATTCAGGAAGAATTATTAGCTCCATTTTACAGATAAGGAAAGGGAGTCTCGGAGAGGCTGTCACATAATGAGTGCCCAGAGCTGGGTCACTACCTGTGGGACCACAAAGCTCCTTTCAAGCCAGGCGCCACTGCTCAAGTCTGTAACCCTAGCACCCTGGGAGACCGAGGCGAGAAGATTGCCTGAGTCCAGGAGTTCCAGACCAGCCTGGGCAACACAGTGAGCTCTCATCTCTACAACAAATCAAACCAATTAGCCGGGCGTGGTGGCACGCCTGTCGTCCCAGCCACTTGGAAGGCTGAGGCAGGAGCCCAGCAAGAGGTCGAGGCTGCGGTAGCTGTAACCATTCCATCCCGCTGGGCGCTCGGAGGCAGAATTCGCCAGGCAAACGGAGGCAGAAGGAGTTAACGGTGCTTTCTGGGCGCCGGGGATCCAAGCCTTCCTGAAGTCGATTCTCCACCAGCAGGACTAGCCTTTTAGCCCTTGCTGTCTCGCACTGGAGCCTCAGGACTTGGGGTACTAGAAAATACCCCAGTCCAGCAGGCGGCACTGCGAACCAGACACCAGCCCCAGCGCGGGCCGCGCGCGGGAAAACCCGAGGCGAGAGCCGCCCCAGCAGCCAGGAAACCACGTGTGGGGGCGTGGCCACCCGTAAGAGGGCGTGCCTGTCGCTCAAGCCCCGCCCCCCCGTTCAGGCCTCCCCTCTCGGTGGGCGAGTCCCGAGTTCTTTCCCCGAGAGACACGCGTGGGCCGCTCCCCTCGGGGAGGTGGGCCGCCCGGAGGGGTGCGGAGTCGCTAGCGGCCCCTCCCCGTGCGGGGCC